GCAAGTGGCTGGATGAGTGGATAAATGAAAGGATAAATAAATGGAAAGAGTGGTCTGAGTGAACAGAGGATTCATAAATGAGGTGTACTTGAATTATATATCCATGAATAGAAATGCAAGTAGAAGAGTGTCCATGTGGTAGTACCTTATGTCAGGAATGACACAATAACTATGTGTTCAGGGAGGAAGCTGGCCTAGCTGGCCCACTGGGGCTTGTAGAGAAGAGACTCAAAATCCCCAAAACGAGGCCAAGAAAGGTTGAATAAGCCATACCAGCTGAGGATTCTCAGACAAACCAAATAGTCGCCTGGTATGTCCCTCAGAGATTTACTTAGCACCTACTAGGGACCTTTTCTTTCTGATGGGAACTTAGGGTGGCTGTCAGTACTAACAGTCTAATACAGAGGGGCACACATGGCAATGGGCAGCGCCTGTCTGGAAAAGGAGACAGGTCTCTAGGAGCACACCACCCACCCAACCACTGCTGAGGACACAGCCTCACCCATCACGTCACGCCTAGTAGATTCCTGCTGCAGCCTAGCCCCAGGGGGCAGGCCCTAGGGGCTAGCCCCAGGGGTTTTGGTCCGAGCCTCTGTCACTGTGGTACATCTTCGGCGAAGGGACCAAAGTCACCATCCTAGGTAAGTGGTTCTCATGATCTTTCCCAGCCTTACCTATTCTTTTCCTCTCTTGGGAAAGTCTGCTTTCTCTTTCTGGAGATCTTTTCCTCTCTGCTCTCCCTGAGTCTGGGGGAGGTGGGTGATCCTAGGGTAAGCAGCAGAAAGGGTCCCATATGTCAGCTATGGCCTAGTCCTGAAGACTTGGGATAGGAACTGTTCAGATGTGGGGTTTCCTTCCTCTCATCTAGGACAGATACCCAAGTCAGGAGGGGAGCAGGTCAGGCAAAGGGAACTCAGTGGCTCTGGACACTGTCCCTAAGCCTCGAAAGCTCAAACTGAGAGCTGAATGCTTAATCAGGCAGCGAGGGGCACTCAGGAGGCCCAGGGACATGGCTGAGGCATAGTCCAAGAAGAGGCAAGAAAGCCTGGGCTTGCTGTAGGTTGAACTCTGAGATGAGATGACTAGAGTCCACGATAGTCATTAGAAAGGGAGAAAACATAGGTCAGAAATGCCTCTGTTCTGGGACAACTTCTTGGGTCCTGGAGTCTCACTCACTAATGTCTCTTGCCTTTACAAAGAGCACATTAGGGTGAGCAATGAGGAAAGGATACTCAAATAAGGGATTCAGAAACTACCTCAATGCAAGGAAAAATCAAGATTTATCAGAAGCTGCCGGGATGAGGGGGAAGCTTCAGTGCACGTCTGTGTTTTCAGGCAGCCCCAGGACCACAGCCTTAGCCAAGAGGCCTGAGAACCGGTCAGCGGGTATGGAGGTCAGAGCAGATGTGGGAGAGGCCTGGCTTGGGAGGATGGAGCATATAGTTTGACAGAGAGAGGATTTTCCTAGAGGAAAGTTGTAAACACTAGAGGACAGTGCTGAGGTGACTGACATGTAATAAAAAGAGACTCAGGAATCGTGAAATCATGACAGATCATCCTCCAAGGATGGTTACAGATTTCCAGTGCAGAGGGGAGGCACCAACAAGGGAAAAATGAATTGAAATGCAGGCCTAGCCTGGGGTGAACTTACTGAAATTAAGGAAAATTCTAGACTTAGACACCTGAGACCAGGGAGGACGCATCACAGCCTAAACAGCTCATTGCCAGTAAACTGTGGCTGCAGAGGTGGCAGAGAGAGAGAGTGGGCCAGGTGACCAAGGGAGGTTACCTGGAAAGGGGTTCTAGAAACACCCAAGGGCAGCACTCCCTAAGGGGTTGCAGTAGTCCATGGGGGAGGCTGTGAAGATGCAAAAGATCAAGAGGATTGGTCACAATGGCTTTGTGCAGGAGAGTCCAAAGCACCCACTGGCTCTGCTCACTCTTGTCCCCCTTGTGTTGGCCCAGGTCAGCCCAAGTCTGCACCCACAGTCACCCTGTTCCCGCCCTCCCCTGAGGAGCTCCAGAACAACAAGGCCACGCTGGTGTGTCTGATGAATAACTTCTACCCGGGCGCTGTGACCGTCAACTGGAAGGCTGATGGCACCACTGTCACCCAAGGCGTGGAGACCACGCAGCCCTCCAAACAGAGTGACAACAAATACATGGCCAGCAGCTACCTGAGCATGACGCCTGCACAGTGGAGATCTCACCAGAGAGTCACCTGCGAGGTCACGCACGATGGCAGCACTGTGGAGAAGAGTTTGGCCCCTGCAGAGTGTGCTTAGGACCCTGCCTGGCACCCTATCCTCAGGGACCTGAAGTGCAAGGACTCAGAGGAAGAGTCTCCTGTCCCACCCCACCTGCTCCTGACTTTCCCTGTGATCCCCTCATTGCTCAATAAACCACCCCTTCCTGATCAGAAATGCTGTTTGTCTCCTTGGTTTCATCCCTTATTTCTTGTCAAACCCCTTGGGTTCTCCAGTGGGAAAGTGTGTACCATTTAACCATTCCGTGGAGCATCATCACAGAAAGTGCTCAATTTGACAGGCTTTGCACTGAATGTCCACTGTGTAGCTGAAGAACCTGCTGTGCGAACTCGCACCAGGCATGTCTCATGTGCTCCTTGACTCTGGTCTCCCCCTCAACAGAGACACACTCACACTCACAATCCAGATCCAGTGTGCCATCAGCACTCAGTCCAGCTCTCCTCTGAAGGGTCACACTGCCCAGGGGCCGGTGTGGTTCCACTGACATGTCTCCCCCAGCAACGCCATGCATCCCGTTCCTCAGCTGAGTTCCCTGGGCTGATGGGGCTGGGATCCAGCACAGTTAGCTATCCCTGCAGAGTGGCTCTGCGAGGGGAAGGAAAGGGAACCAGCAAGAGGGGAGGGTGCCGCGCATGACAGAGAAGTAGAGAGAAATGAAGAGAGGCCCAGTAAATGAATAAGGTGAGAGAAAGAAAAGTGGAAGGAAACAGTCATTTGAGTCCAAACAAAGGTTTGGCAGAAGCAAAGGCTTTACCTCCAGGCTTTACCTCAGGGATCTCCTGATGAGATCCCTGATCAGCTGAAGTGTGTACAGTTCCCCATCACCAGGGAGGCAGGGGAAGGCGTGGAGAGTCAACCTGCAAGTAAGCTGCTCAGGCTGTCCAATGCATGCTAGTTCGGAGGAGACACAGACAGATTCTGCAGGAGAGAAGGACTCTGTATGAGGAAGTCCAGCATTGCCGAGCTTGTATTCATCTTCTTGCTCAGCACTGGGTGTTACATAATTCTCTGAAGGAGAATTCCATGCAGCACTTAGGAAGGAGATCATGGGCTAAGGCGGAGGCAGACAGAGCTGATCACTGTCCATTCATATGCATGTGGATCGGGGTCACATTCAAGCTTGTAGCATAAGGCTGTGGTCTCAACCACTAAGGACTAGACAGAAAAATGGAGTCTGCGGGAATAAGGGAATGTGTTTTTGGCTCGTGGTACATGCAAGAAAGGAACAATCTGTGTGACAAGGAAGCCGTGGGGGGAAATAGGGAAAATGAGATGAGACACCACTGTAGGCACAGCCTGGGCATCCACTGACTGTCTGAGGAAGGCATATGAGAGGCAGGAGGGACACAAGGACTAGAGTTGGGGCCAGGTTAGAATGGACCATAGCAGGGTGACTGTGTCCAGGGGCTTCAGAAAGGGCCCAGCTTCCAGGAAGCTGCAGATTCAGGCTTCAGTCACTGAAATTCACACTCCCTGCTTCTCATAATGTGGCTGAGACCTTCCCATGTCCCCCTTCAGCCTCAGGTCAGAACTCCCACTCTTAGGCTCCTGTGTGCACTGAGCTCCTACATGCAATGTCCCTGGCAGTATTCCTCAGTCCCCTAGGCTAGAGGAGCTCATAGACTGCAATCTCTGAGCATCCCACTCCTAGCAACATGGAAGCTGCATCCTGGAGCTATGGAATAGCCAGGCCCAGCCAAAGGCAGGACTGACAATGACAAGGAACTTTTGTGACCTCGGTGCCATCATGGTGCACTTTCAGTGCAGAGAAATCAGTAGGTCCCCTTCAAAGATCATGATGGCCAGGAGGCCACAAAACCCAGATTCCAAAGCAGACTGCAGATGAGGCCTTCGAATGTCCAAAGACACCTGTCTGATGCCACTGCACAGCGTGCAGCCTCAGACCTTCTAGGACCACACCACGGCTCCCTGGTATCAGATATCAGGATCCACCCAGTCATCAGGTACAGACTCGAGACAAAGTCTTCTTTATTTTAGGATCCACTTCCCTATTGTAGCACTTTCCACACATAATAGAGACCAGCGAACAAAAAAGACTTTATGGTGACATCAGCAGTTGTCTAAATAATGGACTCATTGGTCATTTTCTTTCACCCACAACAGAACCACCCCTTCTTTGCTTGATACTTTGATGAAAATTCCATATATTAATAACACCCACTATCCAGGTCTCTGAAAATTTCCCGAAAATTTCATATGTGTCTTAGTAAGTTGGGTTTGCAGTAGCTTATCTATGTGGATGTTCCCTTTCATGTAGAAAAATAAAATGACGTTTCAGTGGGCTTTGCTGCACGTGTTGTCTGCCTGGTGTCACCTGCTACGCAGTCCTGAGACTGCTGCCTTTGTTTCTTGCCAAGTGGGATCCCCATAAGCTAACCAGCTGGACCTGGGAGTATCCAGGGTCACTGCTCAGCCTTCAGCCTCACTGGACTAAACCTGAGTGTTTCTGTTTCTCTTTTTCCTTCAAAATATTCCCTCCATAGCCAGGACGAAAGGCATAGAGATGAGGCTCAGGGAAGCCATTCTTTATGAAGAGAACAGGCTTTTCCAAGGGAGGCAGCATGCCCTTGAGGCATCTCCAAGGAGACTTCGCTCCTGTCATGCAGGACACAGAAGTCCCCAAGAGGGGCTGCACCCAAGACAGCTGCAGCTGGGGGTCGGGGAGGGGCAAGGCCAGGAGAGGTTTTTGCACTGGTCTGTGTCACAGTGTTGGGTGTTCGGTGGAGGCACCAAGCTGACCGTCCTAGGTAAGTGACTCCTTTTCTCTCTCTCCCTTTGTAGTACCCATTATTTGAGAAAACTTTCGGCTATTTTATGAGCTTTTCCTGTGTTAAGTCTCAGCCTGGACTCAGACTTTCTCCCTGCATTGTGGCTGTGGGTGCTGACCTCTTCTCTCCCTGTTCAGGCCTTCATGCTAGCCTTAGCTGGTCAGAAGCATTCCTTCCCCTCTGAACTCAGATACAAGGACTGAAAAGAAAGGAAGACTAATGTTAATCTATCTGTCTGTATGTGTGTCTGGCTATCTTTCTCTGTCTAATTGTCAGTGTGTCTGTCTTCATCAGTGGGTGTTTCAAAACTGTACTTTTCCACTCTCCTTCCTATGCCGTATCTGTCTGTCCCATGAACATTATGCGATGGGCTTACTGGTGGTGTACACTGAGTCCACGGGGTTTGTGATTCTGAAGATTCTAGACAGACCTAGTGCTCTAAGGGCTGTGGTTACAAAGCCAAAGCATAGAGGCTCCAGCCACTTGCCTGTAGCGGCAGATAACAATTCAGGATCCAGGCCAAGGAGAGGGGTAGAATCTCTGAGCCTGATCCCTATGGAGGTTTCATGATCAACATGGGAATTCAGAAACTTAGGGCAAATGTGGTATGACCTCTGGACTAAATGGAGCCAATCAGGGACGATTAAAGGCTACCATGGGGAAGGGAGCTCCTGGGGTTTTACTGCATGCACTTTGCACAAGAGATAGGGTGTGTATTTATAGATGAACAGGTACAAGGAAGCCAGTGCACAGGTCTGCCATACAGGCAGGGCACTGAGACACCCTGTTCACAGAGCAGGCACCAGACACTGGGAAAGGAACTGCACTGAAGGTGTGATCTTAGGGGAAGCTCCTGAGTTAAGGGCAAATTTGAGGCTCAGACTCCAGAGAGAAGGGAGGACAGATCACAGCCTGCACTGTGCACTGCCAGGAAACTGAGGCTGCAGAGAGGAGGAAGGAAGAGAGCAGGCCATAAACCAGAGAGAGGCTGGTTGGAAAGAGGTTCAAGAAACCGCCAAGTCCAGCTCTCTCTAAGGGGCTCCAGTGGTCCATGGGGGAGGCTGTGAAGATGCATGACAAGATTGGTCAGAATGACTCTGTGCAGGGGGATCCAAAGCCCCCACCTCAGCTCTGCTCA